CTCTTCTCTCTCTTCTCTCTCTTCTCCCTCTTCTCTCTCTTCTCTCTCTCTCTCTCTCTCTCTCTCTCTCTCTCTCTCTCTCTGTCACACACACACACACACACCCCCTTACTCATTCTAGAGGAAACTAGCAGCCATGACTTGAAAACACCACTCAGGAAGCCTTACAGAGAAGCCCACACAGCGAAGAACTGACACTTTGAGCAAAAAACCATCTGGTCTTTCAGCAAATGGATTTTCCAGCCCATGAAGAATTCAACTTCATAAGAGCCTGTGAGCCAGAAATACCCAACTAAGCTGTTCCGGGATTCTGGAGCGTCAGAAACTGTGAGACAGTACATGCTTGTTTTAAGCCACTATGTTTTGGGAAAATTTGTTACACCACAATAGTTAACTACTAACACAACGAGCACTGCCATCTTTCAGCACCAAAATGTTACATTATAAAAATGTATAAAAATAATTATAAATAGAAACATTAAGTATGAATATTAAGAAGAAAAACTGCTTTCAAAATCTTGACTAATACTGAAAGGTAACTGTAATAAAGTCTGCTTGCCAGTCCTACTGTAATAACAATAAGCCAGCAATGTACTATCAGCAGAATATGGCCTGTTTCTGGAAGAAAAGAAGTTGAGGTACAGCATAAACTTCTTTAAAATTAGGAAGGAAACAGTTTGTAACTTAAAAAAAATCATAATCTCCTATTCATCCATGAATCTCCTATTCATCCCATAGTCTGTCTTATGTTACAAATTTATTCTCAAGTTTTATCTTGTCACAAATTAAACCGCATACCTACTGATAAATAAGGTAAGGGCAAATATACCAAATTTCAGCAGATTTCACTAACCTGGTCAAAGTAAAATGATTTTTGTCTGTGTTTCCATACCAAAACGAAAACACTTCATCAGTTCATATAAGTACCCTTTCCAAGGACACAGACTTCCTGCAGTAAGAAACCCCTTTGAACAGTAAGTTTGTTTCATCAGAAAGTGCACTTAGTACACATACATATATTTGGTACATTAGTTATGTATTTTAAAACATTCAAAAAGCAACCACAAAAGAAAAACATGCACGTTTTTCATTTATCTGGTGGGAAAATGTTGTGGGCCAATGAGTTCTATGCACTCTCAACACAGTAAAATCCTTTTTATCATCTATGATTAACCAACAGGATCATCTGCTAAGTGATGATTGTCTCATAACTATGTGTATTGATATCTGTGTGAGCACCAAGACTGCACTAAAAATTAAAGCAGCAGCACCTCTTAGTGATGGCTAAAACTCAAAAAACAGTAAACAGTTCTTTACCTTATGAACAGGAAATAAACATTGATTCTTACATACTTTCGTTTCTTCTGAACAGTCAATTTGTTACCAATCTCTCATTCTCTTCCTCCCTCTCTCTCAATTTACATAATTAAGTTTAACTGATGCTAATGACCTCTGTAGTCTTAAATTTTTCAGTCCTTTCCAGAAAATTTTTTTTTTTTTTTTTTGGTTTTTCTCCCGTACCGGGAACCGAACTCACGACCTTGCGCTTGCCAGGCAGGCGCTTTTGCCGCTGAGCTAAATCCCCAGCCCCTTTCCAGAACATTTAAAACCATGTAAATGTTTAAAATATTATTTGCATTGGAAAATGAAGCATTCCTATGGTGATACTGCCAGCATGTGCAAAAGTAACAATGTATGAGATACAATGTATCCAGTCATACCGTAGCACCTGTTTTTCAATACAACCATAAAATCAAATGCAAAGGGCCCAACAATCTCGCAACATGTTGACAATGCAAAATTTCCAATGAATTACTTGTGTTCAAGTAATTTCTGACGCCTATTCAGTGTCCAAAAATTAACATTCTAATATGATTGCCTATACTGTTTTCCAACGAACACATTTCCAGAATTGAGTATCTTAAAACTACTTACTGAGTGCACACAAGATTACAAATACGCTAGGAGTGTATTCAATTATGATTTCCTATAACATTAAAATTAACTGTTTTATAACTGAGTTGATTGGAAGGTCACATTTTCATGTAAAAGCACTGTGGGGAAACAATGTCTGGAGGAACCATTCCAACACATTTCCTGAACTGATCAACAAACAGATACAACTAACAAGTTTCTGAAGTAGTAAAGATAACTCATGCACAAAGTCCAGAGATACAATTTCAAGTGCCTCGGGTAAATCAAATGCCATATTTCAAATCAAGAATTCATGGAATGTTTACACGTACCCACTTCAGAGAGGAAAAAGCAAACTTTTTAAAAACCTTCTAACACATCAGAATGTAATACACAGTATTTAAATGGCAAAAATATTTTAAGACAATCCAGTTTGGTCCTTTGCTCCTTCCAGCCTTTTGATTTTCTGAACTCTTAGCCTTTTTCATCTAGACTCAAATTCTGATCCACCATATTCTGCGCTTGTTTTAAAAATATCCTATTTTAACATGTTAGCTTAAAAATAGCTTTACTTTCCTCCTTCCAAGTTAATTGTCAGCAGAACTCTTTATTGTGGAGCCACAGATTTCCCCTTCCGCTCCCCAATACCTTATTTAAAATTTCACCCTTTCAAACTTGGGGAAACAAAAGCGAGTTCATTGAGAACCTCCTTGGCTTACAGCGGTGCGTCTGCAGTCGCCCCGTTCCTGCCATTTCCGAGGAATGTGCCTCCTTCGATTAATACAGCCAGATGTGCCCAGAAACAGGCAGCAGCCGACGGCAGCCCCGCCTCGGCAAGCTACACCCCTTTTCGGGAACACCCAGACATCTCCGTCTGACAGTTGATCAGGAAAGTTTCTTCCTGCCTGGCGGGTTTGCAGCACTCTCGGGGCTCGCCCACTGCGGGGGCGCCCGCTCCCGTCCGCAGCCGCGACCCGGGGCGGGAGGGCCGGGGGAGCTAACCGCACAGACCCACTCCCCGCAGTGCCGGCTGAAGCTAGGGGGCTCGGGCCAGAGACGCCAGGGGGCGAGGCCCCGTCCCGCCGGCTCGGGGGGCCGCGAAGGCGCAGCCCCGCGCTGGGGTCCGCAGCGGCGCGCCGCCCGCCCTTACCTTGCGCGATGGCGATGGACTCGAAGCGGTGCAGCTCCTTGAGCAGGCAGCTGCGCTCGGTGGAGTGCAGGCTGTAGATGAAGTCGCGCGCGCCCTGCGCCGTGTTCAGCGCCTCCATGGGCTCCTTCTTGGGGTGCGTGCCCAGCCGCCGGGCGCCGCACCAGGGCGGCGGGCGG